GGCACACGTATCCACTCGCTATGTGGGTTAAGTGTCTTGCCTAAGGACAAAACAGTTTGGCATTATACAGACACAGCTGCCCCACTGTGGCACCTGGTCTTCCATCACAGCACTGACCAGGCCCTGACCTGCTTCACTTGTAAGGTTCAACATGATTAGGCTTTTAACAAGCAAGTGCCACAGTAGTCATGTACAATACTTGTCGCAGTTACTTTGTTAGTGTTTTTAACCAATCTCATTTTGACTTCACCAAAAGACAGATCATTTTAAGCAATAACAATTTAACCACATTGATAGTGTTAATAATGAGATTGCTAGTTTTTTGATAACTTCTGGAGAATCCACAAACAACAGCATCATGAGTATCTTTTTACGGTGCAAAAAAATGGCACTTAGCACAAACTGAAGAGACACTAAGGTGAAATGCAAAAAAAATCAAAGTTTGAAGCCTGTAACAAAACATTGCAAGACGAGTCAGTCAACTTGGAATGCAATTTACCACCGCACGACCTCCCTGCTCTTGTTCAACTAAATAATGGCTTACTGTCATGTTGCTGAACGTCGCCATGACAATAATCTGAGTAATAAAGTTGACCTCACAACATCTTGGGTGTTGTGCAATGATGCTTTTCTGACGACAAACAGCCCGCAGTAGACCATAACATTGTTCCATTCTGCTGTTTCCTTTTATGTCCAGAGACTAAACAACGGGTCTCCATCCTAATGTTCAGAGGCGACCAGCTACTTTCCAACCTCTTTCAAAGTAGCTTGCTTAAACAGCTTGGGTGTTGTTCAATATAATTCCAATGTACAGGTGGAAAATGTGGATATCGTTTGAAAGTTTATTTATTTTGGTAATTCCACTTAAAACATGAAACTAATACAAGACTCACGGATCATTACAGACACTTTTTAGTATCATTTCCTTTAGTTAAATTTTTTCAAGGCCTGACAACCCATACCACAGGCCGACAAGACACAGACTAGACATTATAGACTCATTACATGCAATGTGATCTCGCCCTTTTTCGTTATAATGTGGATGATCATGGCTTACCGTCCATTTTCAAAATACTGATCGAAAACAGAAGACAGAATCCCAGGTGTGTCAGAGTAAAAATCATCCCGGATTATGAGCAATGAGTTTCGTAGATGACCCTACATGTTTTCTATGGTTAGTTTTTTTTTTCTTTCTTTTTTTTAAAATATGGTAAAAGTCTAACCCTAAAGCACTGGTCCCTAAGAAATACCAAATGAACCTTATTGCATCATTCAAAAAATATGCATGTTTCTGAAAATTTGTATCTGTGGTTTTTAGGATCTGTGAGCCAATTATCAACATTACATATAGCAATACGGGCTTGACATATCTCACTTTACATGTTGAGGGTCTGTCAGTGTCACCTGCATATCACAGTGTATAAATGCATGAAAATTGTTTATGATTATAGGAGTCTTACATTATGGGAGAACGTATAGTCTGGACAAACCCTCCCTGGTAACATGTGTATGGTGTTAAAAGTGCTCTATCACTGAATCCATTAGCAGTGTGTAAAGGCATGCATTATTCAACATTTCTTGGTCATGTATTTGTCTTCATCGTGTGGTGGCATTCATTTGAAACCTTTATTTGTTCCTTTCGTATTCTCAATGCATGTATGACCAAGATTCCACCATTTTACATGTAGCCCATGTTTTCACTGCCAGCCATAGATTGTGAGTAATGTCCTCACATGGTCATTTGTGGACTCAGGGCTGGGACCCCCAAACTGGAGAAGTGGTTAATGCAGATCCCATGGAAAACATCCAACTTCTCAGACCAGAAAAGTGCAGTCTTATTGGAACAGTAACGATATCGGCCAGAACTAGGTCTGTATTTATTTATTCAATAACTGCTCTATATACAGACTCCAGGTTAATACTACAATAGTGCAGACTGTGAGTACTAATACATAGGATATTAGGACACCACACTAACAGTAATTACAGAAATATAACCATTTAAACATTAATGGCTCAAGTTAATGATACAAATGTATTGTTTGGAAATATAATAATCGAAAAAAACTGAAGTGAAGCCGCTTGGAGTCAATTATAGATAAAATCCCATATCTGTATTCTAATTCCTTTGATTCAGTTAATTGAGAAATTGGTGTTATTATTGCTAAATAAATTTATTTCTAACTGTAGAAGAGGGAGAAGAGAAGATAGAAATGCCATCTGCAGGGTGAGTATAAGGTGTGAGTTGATAAATACTGGATATACAGATGTAAGAAGACATACTGTGCTTTTGTCTGCTGTATTTAGTTTTTGCGCTTTGATTTGTGAAACCTGTAAATGCATCAAATCTTTTGAACATTGAACATTTCAATCCATAAAAGAAGTTTGATGCCGAGCTGTTTCTACCATCCATGTTACAGTGCATTGCAACAACAACAAAAAAACATCATGGCAACAAAAGGCCAAAAAAGTAGAAGAAATAGCAGCAATCCAAGATTTTCCTTTCAGTTGATCAGAAATCTTTGTGCCACAACCAGATGTAGAATCAAAGAAGCAAAAGTATGTGTGATTGTTGGAGCTATAGGACTCCATTACAGACACTACGCATGTTTGAATCACCCTCGAAACAACTTTAACAATTATACAATCCCTACAATGGTTTAAAATATTTAGATAGATTGTTTTTATTACCTTATAAATTGAACAAAAATCATGTATTTTGTTTTATTCTGCTCATTCTCATTCACTCATCTCGTTTTGCCAAGCCAGGGCATGGACAGCCACACAAGCCAACACCAGAAAATAGAGAGTGTAGCAAATGCAATGAGAAGGTGAGAAAGACAGTAGAGGGCCTGAATAACACTCAAAAACAACACTCGGCAATAGGAGAGGATCGAAAAAGTGGCCTGGTGGAAAACGACTGGTGAGTTTCAGTAAAATCCCCTTATACCTTTTAAGCATTTTATAATTCCCTAAAAGATACAGGTATTGAATTTCACTACTGTTGAAAAGTCGATACTTGAGATTACATAGGAGTATTTTCTGGGTGATATACATTGACACACATTGTTCTCTTCATACCTAAAGAATCAAGTGTTAAACGTGATTTCCGAGATGCACTAACCACAGTGGAAGCAGGTCCGCCTATCGCTGTGCTGCAGAACAGAACGCTTAAAGAAATCCTTTGTTCCTCCGGCCATAAGATTTTTAGAATAATGTATGTCTTTGTGTTTGTATGCATCATGTGTTTCTACAGCTGGACACCCGAATTTCTCCTGCGGGGATGAATAAAGTATTTATCCATCCATCTCCCTCTCTCCAGCTCTCCATCTATCCATCTATCTTATCATATCAGATTTCTCAGATATTAAAAGAAAGTATTGAAATCTGTAGGCAAAACCAGCATAGGTGTATCCCTTTAATTATCCATCTATTTATTAAATTCGAAAATCCAGACTTACAAAAACAGGTGCAGATGTACAAACAAACACAATAAAATAAACAAGAAACAGACAACAATGCACACATTCAAAACAAAATCTATGGCGCCAGATTTACGCCAAAAGTCCACACGCACATATAACACATACACGCGCAGCTTTATTTAATTCACACGGGTGCAAACCACTCTCCACGCGCATATTTCACCCAACACACAAGCGCAGATTCAGTACCACGAGCAACAATACGCGCGTGTGTGCGTTCGTGACATGCCTTCTCCCTGCTCGTGGTCTGTGTTCTGCGTGCGTTGAAAACTTTTGCCATCTCTTCTACGCGCGCGTGAAATATACTTTTGTCGCTTGGGGGCGGGGCCACTGCTTTCCAGGAATTCCCGCGGTTAGAAGATTTGTTTCAAAGGCGAATACTTCAGACAAGAGTTGGTGAGTGTTTTATATTTAATTAATTTATGTTATAAACTGTTTTTTTTTTTAAACTGTCTTTCCATAGCTAACATCGCGCCGGTGTCCCAATCGTTGCTTGTTTGCCCATGTCCATCATTTTAATTAATTAATTGATAATAACTAAGTTCTTCTCATTTTTAACTGAAATTTAGTAGAAAACTACTGAAATAAAGGACGTAGCCTACATTTTAATATGTTTATATATCAAATAAATATAAAACGCTCACCAAGTATTCGTCTTCTGAACCAAATCTTCTAACCGCGGGAAACAAAAGTTTTCAATGCGCGCAGAACACAGACCACGAGCAGGGAGAGGGCATGTCACGAACGCACACACGCGCGTATTGTTGCTCGTGGTTCTGAATCTGCGCGTGTGTTGGGTGAAATGTGCGCGTGGAGAGTGGTTTGCGCGCGTGTGAATTAAATAAAGCTGCGCGTGTATGTATTATTTGCGCGTGTGGACTCTTGGCGTAAATCTGGCGCCATAAAAATCCATACAGTTCCACGTCCAGGCTGTACTGTTACAACTTTTTTTGTTATGTACATTTTATAAATTGTTTGTTTTGGCGAGTTTGAATACTGCCGTCTAGTGGTCACCTTGGGTATAAGTTTCGTAATTCGGCACACTCATCATTCAACCGTCAGCTCACGGTGCAGTCAGCTCATTCAAAGACACCCGTTTACAGCCCCTTCCAGCCATGGATAATGTGTAGTTTTGAAGTTGTTCTGTTGATAAAAATGTGTTCAAATAAGAATTTGAGAAAAGGAGAAGTTCTTTTTGTTACAACTACTTTCTAACTGCTAATTTTTGTGTGTTATCTCTGTTTTGTTTAAGCCAGGCTATACGCCCAAGTCTAAATTTCAGAAGTACAAAATAGTATTTTTTCTGTGTTACATGAGTTAGATGAGTGTAAATGTAAGATGTAGTGATTAATTTATGACTATGACTATCTGTCTAGCCCTGGTAGTGACACCATAGTGAGGACAGAATACAGGCGCTGCCCCTTTATACGTCCTCCTCTTTTTGTGTAACCTGTTTTGCTTTCAAACATGCGGCCTGCATTAAACACCCGTGTCTTCCACATTTTCTTCCTGTAGTTACTCCCTAATTCCTCCACAAACTGCGAAACCGCCCGCCTCTTTCCTGGCTTCATTGAACACCATTACCGCGCCCCCTGCAACCACGGCCCTCAGTGAGTTTGACGTAAAGCGATCCAAACTACTCCTCCCGCGCTCTCTCTCCGTGTCAGGCCTGGTTTCGCTCCGGCGCCGCGGCTCATTGACCTTGGCGCGTGCCCGGGTGAAAGATGAATGGGCCTGCAGGGTTGCGCGTAAACAGCCGAAGACACCTGGAGGGTTGCGGTGTGGGGTTCCAGGACGGTGTGTATTAATGCGAACATGAGCTGTGCGTGTCTCCCTGGGCGCACCGATGATGTAATTACATGTTTTGTCATTATTCATATCTAGATAGATGTAGGCTCACGGCGTGGCTTCGGAAGGGGAGAGATTTGCCACATGAGCGCACCAGGGACCTGATTTCTTTTCTTTTTTTTTTTTTTGTATGGGTATTTTTCATGCAAAAGCTGGAAACATGCATGAGGAATGCAGTTACATTAATCATACGTGGAGAGGTGCGTGTGTGTTTAGAGGATCACATTTGATGGAATGCAAGGCCTTTTTCCTGCTATTGTACATAAAAAAGACCAAGGAAGGTTTTGTAATTACTCAGAGGATCTCAATGCCCAGAGTCAGGACTAAACACAGTGTCGGTGTAGGGCAGGAGCCGTTGTCTCTGGCTGTTTATTTTCATTCCACACAACACTATTTGATTCAATAATGACTTTGATGGATTTGACCAGATAACTTCAACTTCTCTGCCTCAGTTTCAGACAATGGTTCCTCAGTTATTTGCGTCTTCTCATCTGTGTAGTTTGCTGTACCTCCATTTCACCTTCTGGTTCCTCTTCGAACAAATTAGCCTACACCTCGTTCTCTGAGTTGACCGCTGCTGTGATTTAGGGCTTTACAAAAATACTTTTTATTGAGTTGAATGAAGCTGGGACTATAAATCAGAAAGGGCCGGTGTGGCTGCAGGTTTTTTATCAGCTGGAGCAGAACTCCACCTATTTTGAGTCTGCTCTGCTCCTGCTCGGTCTGATAACCTTTTCTGGACCGGTTTGGAGACCCCTGCTTTAAATTCTATTCTTCCCGCCGTAAGCTCAAATGGTTAAAGTTCCCAATGACATTATCAAAAGATATCTCATCAGAAGATAAGATAAATTTCTCCACTGTGAGACAAATAAAGGTTAATCTTTTATGAGAACCTTTATTCGTCCCACCGTGGGGAAATTTTGAGAGGTCCATTCCTAACTCCAGCCTTTACCCTTAGCTAAACTGATTTGAATATTGTCCTGTATGCAGCTAGTATCTGCAATCCAGGATAAAAACAACTGTCCGTGCAATTGGGGTGTTTTGTCTGTGCTGTCTTAAATGGTAAAATGTCGTAATGTAATGTTTGTGTTGCATTATTTCAATGACTTTGTACAGGATTTGTGTTATTCAAATAAACTTCCCCGTCCAAACTGTCGTGCGTTATGATCAAAAACGTTGAAGTAATCCGGCTTTTTGTTCCTTTTATGTTGTAGTGATATACTGATCCAGTTTCAGCAGGCTTGGTTGGAATATCTTTGAAATGCTGGAGACTTGTAGTAAACTAATTCTAATTAGGAGCAAAATAATACACAGAAAAAATAAACCCAGAGATGATGAAGTATTTTTTTTTTTCTATATATATATATATATATATATATATATGACATAAAACAGGGGTACAGTGGTGTAGCAGCAGGGAGAGAGAGAGAGGTGTGCAAAATACACGATGACAAAAATATGGGTAAAAAGTGTGTAAGGTTAGTTGATGAGTGGGGTCTGGGATGCGTGGGGTGTATTGTTTGAGGTATGGTTGGTGAAATATAATCTGACATTAAGTTTTCCCATATGAAGGTGTGTATGTTGGTTTTGGTTTTCCAGTTTATGAGTATTGTTTTTTTGGCGATAGCTAGCGACATTAGAAGGTACTTTGATTTACTCTGATTGATGGGGAGTGTGGATATGTCTCCTTGAAGACAGAGGGATGGGGACATTGGGATGTTGCAGCCAAGTGAAGTGGTGAGTGATTGAGTGACGGCTTTCCAGAATGCTTGGACCGGAGTGCAGTGCCAAGTGAGCAGTGTGTGCAGTGAGGGCAGATGTGTGAAGTCTGATGAAGTCATTTTTAACGAGAAAAAGTATATTTGAAAAATCTCAATCCTGTGGAAATTGGGTTTCATCCCTATCCATGTATTCATATCCAGCTTTCTCATAAATCTGCAAACATTTCAAGTCCTCCATCAGCGTGAAATACTGCAGCTTTACTCCTCATTCAGGACTACAGCAAAGCACATATGCCTTTCACAGCCAAGTATTTCACTGAGAAAACATTCCAATACAAAATAATGAGAACCAAAGTATAATGGAATACCACCAAATGAAAAATGAATTCTAACACTGATGAAAAGTTTAGCTTTGAACGTTTTTGTTTTTATAAGGGTTTCTGCTTTGGATACCAGTATATTTTGTCTGTGTTGACTATGCCAATGTGATATTACATGATTTATTGTTTTAATTCTGTACCTAGGCAAGGCAAGGCAAGTTTATATATATAGAACAATTCATACACAAGGCAATTCAAAGTGCTGAACAAAATAAGAAAGCATTAAAATCCCTCAGTTGTATGCACAGCTAAACAGAACTGTTTTTAACCTACCACAACTTATTGTAAGATCTTCGTTGGCTCCTAATTAAGTCCTCGATTGTTTGAAGCTCTCCACAGTCTGGCACCTTTGTATGTATTTCTGAAAGTCTTATGAAGCTCTGTTCCCCAGACTTCAATTTCCTTGTCTTTCTCTTGTTAAGTTTGAAATAGTCAGAGCCCTCTCCCTATACCCTCAGTGATCATGGCTCTAACAGACTTGAGCTCAGACCTGGATTGACAGCCTGTCTGTTCATTGAGAGTGGATAATTCAAAAGGAACCAGTGGTGTGAGCAATAGTGAGTAGGAGGAAACCTGCCTTTGCATAATGTGTTTTTCATTGTGTGACTAGCCCTTCTAGGGACAATGCAAATAAACCATGGCTATAAATGTTGTGTTTCACATGTTTGATTGTGTACATCTGTCCCTATAAAATAAATCAATAAAGTAAAAATAAATCCTCTGTCACTGAGGGTCTCCCCATGGTTTTTCTCTCTCTCACTGGGTTTCGACAGTGGGATGTCCTACCACAGGGGACGTTTATGGACTTTAATGGACATTGGTTTATCCGTTAATCCCATGGACCAATGACTCTTACGTCCTCTACACAGTGCAAGCTCTACACACCTCTCCTCTTCACGGGCGAGTAGCGGCGACCATGCGTACACACCAAGAGTGGAGCGCAGCGTTATGCCTGCCGCAAGGGTCATGGTCTGTGTGCGCTGGTTTGGTCAGACACATGACTTAACAAAATAAAGAAAATTCCAGAATATCTCCCAAACTTGTCATTAATGTGCGCAGCAGTGACACTTAAATTTCCCCATTTTGGGACAAATAAAGGAATATCTTATCCTTCCTTATATGTTTAATATGTGTTATGGACATTTCGTCGCCAATCAACATTAACACAATAATATTTTCCATGCATTTTGACTGAAAGCTGCGTCACTCAGGCTCTTATTGTAACTGTTCGATTTTCTACTTGACATTTCTGTGAAGCACCTTCAAGATGACCGCTCTTCTGAGTTTGGGAATCACAAAAACACAACAAAATTGAGCCCACTAAGCTCATTGTACATGGTTAACTGTACCTAATGACATCAAGTGCAATCCAGGGTTGAACTCATATAAGATCCAACTAACTTACTGTCTAGAAACTTGTCTGTAAATATGACCAAAGTTTATCATCGACAACGAGAAAAGACCGAATCCTGATCTCTTCACGTACATGTATCCTAGGACTTGAAATACTATATTCATCCTGTCTTTATACTGTACATCTGAAATTCAACAATCTCAGAAACATGTTTTCTTTGCGTGCGTCCACTTTTCCTTCCTTTGATTCAATGCATTTGCAGAAGTCAGAAAAGTGCCTCCTTCCCCAGTCTGCAGTGTGATTTTAAAAGCCCTTCTCTCGATGTTTGTGACAACTCTAATGTAATGCGACCTTTGGCTGCGCCGCATTCCGCTGTTTGTCTGATTCTCTAAAAGGCATCTCTCTAAATCATTCATGCTCCTTGTGTATTTTCGGTATAGTTTCTATTATTCAACCGGTGGCGAGGAATGACAGAGATGCAATGCAAGACGAACCTTTCAGAGGTTTTTTTCTTTCCATTTGGAGCTTTTAAAACGATGGAAAGCATTTGGGAGGAGAATGGAACGGCGAGATGTGTCCGTGTTGTCGTGGAGTGCTTGCGTTTGCGTCGAAAAAGAGAGCGAGTGGTTTATGGGAGCAGCTGTCCACCAGTTTCACTTCACAACAAAACAAGTCAAGTGTGCCAGATGTCTTTTTTACTTTTTCTGGCAAATTGCTTTCTGAATTTGAACCATAAATTGGAAAATTGCAGTGATAGACCAATAAATGGCGATATAGAGATACAGACAGGTTTCAGTACAATACAAATACAATATTCTTTACAAATGTATGAATCCTCTTACAGAGCAGAGATCCAAAATGTGGTTCAGTGGAGTAAAGCTAACAACCTGCAGTTGAACGCATCGAAAACATGTGAACTGGTCTTGGACTTCAGTCGTAACAGTTCTCACACTCCTGTAGTTATTGACAACTCCCAGGTGCAGATTGTAGAGGAGTGCAAGTTTCTGGGTCTAACTCTGTCTAACGACCTGAAATGGGTTAAAAACACTGACCGAGTCGTTAAGAAAGCTCGTCAGCGTCTCTACTTTCTGCGTAAACTTAGAAAATTTACAACTGACTCTAAGATTCTGCTTAAATTTTATTGCTGCACCATTGAGAGTTTGCTTGTTGGTTCTGTGTCTGTGTGGTTTGGAAACATCACAGACAAAGAAAGGAGAGCTCTAAACAAGGTGCTCCGCTCTGCAAAGAGGACCGTGGGCTGTGAGCTTCCTGTTCTGAAGGCTCTTTATAAATCCAGACTTTTAAACAAAGCTCTTAGGATTGTCAATGACTCTTCTGGCCACCCTGGAAAAGCCATGTTCCAGCTTCTTCCCTCTGGCAGAAGATATCGTTCTCTGAGATGCAGTACATCTCGATATGTTAACAGCTTCTTCCCAAAAGCTGTCATAAGTTTGAACAGAGCACTTTAACGATCTTGCACTTTGTATTGAAACTGTTTTAGCCTATCGTTTTCACAGTGACAATTGTTTTACTGTTTTATTTTCATTTTATTTTCTGGGGACTTTTGCTAATGAATTCCAATGTGGTTTTACTGCAAATGGCAAATAAACTGAATCTGAATCTGAAATGAATGAATTCCAGCTTGGTTGTACTGAAAATGATTACTGTATTTGTAATGATAACCACCGAGTTAAAATATACGGCATATACATTCAATGAAATGTATATCTGTATCGCCCTAAATCCCAGTAGTAGTTCTCTCGGAGGACTTTACAAAACCGTTTATTCGCCAACACAGATCAGAGAATGAAACCGTTCAAACACAATAAATGCAATGATACAAAAAAAACCACATAGGTCATTGGTCCATAAAGAACGGATGACCAATGTTCCTGAACAACAATATTGTGATATTTGTCATAATATTACATGGTTTTGGATTGAATTACATCAATTGGTATTGCTCATCATAACGCTAACTGAGATTTTTTAACTCCAACCAAAGGTATTGCCCACTATTGATGTAATAATGTCCCCAAAGGCACGATGCCAATGGAGCTTCAAAAAGAGCTCATGTATTGAATGATTTATTATGATGTGAGAAATCTGTTAGAAAGAGAGGATTTAATTAGCAATAAAAAAATCAAGCAGAAAATGGGCTAAAAATATACTCCACAGCACAACAAATGGGTGCAGTAAGATGATTATCGAATACTTTATTTAGTTGATCAAAGTAAGCTTGAGAGGAGATAGCTTAGTGCTCTGTCTCTCATCTCCCCAGCCAATTTGGGACCTCCAAAAATAATTTAAAAAAGGTTGGGATGAATGAAGCAGACGAGGGCATGGATTTAGTTTGTCAAGGAGGCTGGAAGAGGCTGTGGACGAAACGGCGGAAAAGAAAACAGAAAACTTGTATCGAGCGATGAATAAGAAGGGGGTGAGAAAGATCTGTCGTTGTTAAAGCCTGAGTCCTGGATCTAAGGCCTGTGGGGGTGGATTCCTCCCGAAATCCTGGGTTTTTAGAGTTTTTCCTTACCGATGCAGGAAGGGCCAAGTACAGTGGTTAATTGAATTGAATCGAGATCTTGACGTCCTTCTGCTGGTCGTGTTGGCGTTTGAGCATCACACTGCAAAAAGTCAATTCTAAGCAAGTAAAAAAAGTCTTGAAATGAGAAAAAAAACCTTGTTTTTTGTATAAAAAGAAAAATTATCTTGTCTCTAGCAAAATTTCCTTGAGAATAAAATTCTTATTTTTAGAAATTAATTCTAGCTTTTTCTTATTAAGAAAAATGTACTTTAAAAAGTAATATTTGGATCCAAAACAAGCAACAATGACTTATTTAGGCTTTAAACATAAAGCCTCTTTCTTAATTCAAGAAAAAATAAGAAACAAGAAATCTTAAAATAAGAAAAATATTTTATTCAATTGAATTCAATGCGTTTCACTTCAATGTATTTGTGTATCGTCCAAAACCACAGCAGCAGTTGCCTAGGAGGACATTACAAAGTTGTCGATTCACCAAAAACAGATCAGAGAATCATACGAACACAGGAAATGCAATAATAACAAACACATAGGAGCCATATAAGGAGCAGGATGACCACTGTCCAGAAATGTTAATAAATGTCTTTAAATGTCCCAGATCATCACTGTCCTTAGACCCTCCTGCATCATAGAGGAACCACAAACCCACCTATGTGACACAATACAAAATGATTGGCCAACCTCATGCTCGTGATGCAATCACGTCTCCAAGATCATATTTAATGGGCACATATATTACATCTTTGTGTACAACACTGTAATATGGAGTATAGTCTACAATAGCATCTGAAGAGATGAATTCATTTGCTTGAGCCATGTTTGGAATTTCAATTTGATATGCCATATAATCTCTATTGTAACTAACAGTGGCATAAGGCTGGAACTCAAAACAATACATATAAGAATTTACAACAAATATGTTTCTTATCAGTCCAAATTCAGGTAAGTCATTTTTGACAGCATTGACAATTAATGTTTTACCAGAGACATATTTATTTCCATTTAGATTTATCCATTTAACTGACACTGCATGAGTGACATGTTCATTTCGAAAGAACACTCTTACTTTTTCTTTAAGATATAACATGTTTTTAACTTCAGATGTGGGTCCAAGAACACATTCAGTTGAGAAAATGGGATGATCAGAGCTTGTTGCATTCTGGCAACATTCATACATCTGATTATGTCTTATTAATGACTTGCAAACATTTTTAAAATTTACTTTTGACACCCACTGTTTAAAAAAACAATGCTTTGATTCAAATCTCATGCACATGTGACGTATCATTGGTCCGAGGTTTTTAATCTGACCTGGAATGTGTATTAAATAATGCTGTTTTGGTGTAATGTTTTGATCTGGAAAAGTACGCTTCATGCGTTTTAAATGTTGCTCAATTAGAATTTTGAATCTGTTAAGTGTTTGAGGGCTAATGACAGGAGAAAACAGGATCTGAACAATGGCTATAAGTTCAAGAATAATAGCATAACATTCAGTAGTTTTAGCTGTATCAATCAGAAAAGGTAGTATTTTTAGAAGAACAATCATTTGCCCTGATGACTGCTTTAACTTGTTATCATTAGAGGCTAAAGTACTGTATGAAATGGTACTTGGTTTGTCTCTGACGTCAAGTGGAGAATATGGGAAACCAACTATTCCAGCATTTAAATTGTCCAAATCAAGTTGGCCGAGGAGCACTAAATGCTTTAATACACATTTTATTTCTAAAGGCGCAATACCTTCAAGAATTATGTGCATTATATCTTGCGGGGTTTGTTTAATCATGTTAAAACCAGGAAATTCTATCAGTTTACTTCTCCTATTGATCCCATATGTCGTTTTTTAGGCTATTTTTGAGAAACTCTGTACCAGCTTTTTCTATGTCACTGCACTGTCTGATATGCCTGTCAAGTGTTCTTTCCTCAAAGTGGTCTTCATTAAAGTACATTTGCATGTCTTCAAATGCACATTCACATTGTCGACATTTGCTATAGGCAAACCCCACACCCTCTTTGAACCCACAAAGCTCATGCTGTGCTAAAGTATCACCACAGATAGACACAACTGCTCCGTATATTTCCCTTTCACCTGTTGCGGTTTGAATTTTTACACCATGATATAATTTCACCAAATCCTCTTGCAGTCTTTCTAATACTTTGTCAACTCCACAATCAGACAGTTCATTTGTATTTGCCATGGCAAGTAGTCGAATTGAAGCTAACTTTGATCTATATTTAGGATTAATAAGTCCCAAAGTATAATAAAACATTATTAACTTATTTTTTGAAGCATGAGAACCAAGCGGGTTACATATTTCAATTTCATCAGAATAAAGAATAATTTGCAAAGCAGAAGGGTGACTTGAGAAAAAATGGTGTGATTTTATAAGTTCTCCATCTATAATGTCACTAATGTATCCATTTCTATTTGTTTGGTCCTGGTCTATGACAGCTAAAACTTTAGGATGAGACAAAAACTGTTCTAAGCTTTTTGTAAGAGGGATATAATGAAAACATTTTAGTTTGGTGGACAAAAGCCTTTTTGCTCCTTTTTTTCGAAAGCATGCCGCATATCCCACCGCCACTTCCTCTGATTCAACAAAATTGAAAGTCTTCTTGATCACACTGTCCTGCCTGTATGTGGTTGACACTGTTGCAAAGGGATCCTCAATCTGGTCAAACACTGCCATTGCCTCCTCTTCAACTTCTGTTCCAGGATGTTGCTGCAAGACACTTTGAAGTTGACTCCTCAAATTTGACACCAACAGACCTTGATACTCCTGTATTGCAGCCACCACATCATTTACGCCAGTCTAAAAATAAAGAACAATCAAACGAGTTAACATTTTAGATATGGAATATTCAAGTAACTAAATATGCATGTAGTAAATTAACAAAAAAACCTGTGTACTTACATACCTGTGAAAGATGATGTTTTTCTCGCGCACACAGCACAATTGAAGTGGCTTGTCTAATCAGAGTGCCACTGTCAATGCCATCCTTCGAAAAAAAAAAAAATCAATTTGTAACAGAAACACAGCTGTCTAACTTAAGATAAGACAGTGACTAATATGAGTGTATGAGTGTGATCCATTTAGACATGTACAATGCCTATTGTGAAAATAGAACTGTTAGTAAGAACTTGTAACAGCTGAATCAGCATCAGGAACATTGATTGTGATTATTGCTGTCCCAAGTGTACATTTCAGCTGGTTAACACAAAATAATTATTCTATGTCACTGTGTAGAGAGCTCTGATAAAACATTATTAATTTAGATTTTATTCCAAAAACAATAGAACGTTATTAAATTATGAAAGTTAGATTTTTAGATTAAGTATATTTAATTAGTACTTCAAAGAAACGACTGGTTATAACTGGTTAGTCCTTGATAACATGTTGTTGAGTTAGTTGTTCTGCACACAGCTCATTGTAACCTAGTCACAACAATCTTAATAAAAAGAGTCATCTGTATGATAATAACATATTTCATAAAAGTAATAAAACGGTAGTTACCCGACAGCAAGACGCAGAAGCACTGTCCAAAGGCTCCATGAGCGGATCCGGTAAAGTTACAGCTTCGTTGGTCCTGGTACGAGCGTGGGGCGGCGAGTCTCGAGGTGGGGAAACAACAGGGTCGCGTTGTTCAAAGCCATCAAACAGCGACGCATTGTTGAAGTCTCCAAAATGATCCAAAAGCATCTCATCTGGTTGTAAGCGCGCCGTCTGTGTTGCTGGACTCACAGTGCGGTGTTCATTTTGAGGCTCTGGCCTCTGAGATCCCTGGCCTGCGCCAGCACCTGCTGGTTGCTCTCGCCTGTGCATCTGCTCCGGTGGTATGAAGGCCCATGGGTTCCGATCTATAGATCCATGGTTCCGATTCGCTGGTGCTGTATTTCTCCACGGGAGAGAGGAAGTAGAGCTGCAACTAAGATGCACCGAGTGGCTTCTCCGAATGTGGTACCAAAGTGAGTTATACACGCGATATTCTTTATCACAGCCATCAATTCCACATACGATTCGAAAGTCCGGACTTCGGCTATGAGCGGAGTTTATGTGACTGAGAAGGGATTTAAGGGTAAGTCCAACAAACACGAAGCAAATTACGGAGCTCGGTCACACGGGAGGAGCTCGGAGTAGAGCCGCTGCTTCTCCACGTCGAGAGGAACCAGTTGAGGTGGCTCGGGCATCTGTTCAGGATGCCTCCTGGACGCCTTCCTGGGGAGGTGTTCCGGGCACGTCCCACCGGGAGGAGGCCCCGGGGAAGACCCAGGACACGCTGGAGAGACTATGTCTCTCAGCTGGCCTGGGAACGCCTTGGGGTCCCCCCGGACGAGCTGGAGGAGGTGTGTGTGGATAGGGAAGTCTGGGCGTCTCTGCTTAGACTGCTGCCCCCGCGACCCGGCAACGGATGAAGCGGAAGAAAATGGATGGATGGATGGATATGTATATATGTATATATATATATATGTATATATACACATACATATATATACACATATATATATACACACATTATATATATGTATATATATATGTGTATATATATATATGTATGTATATATCTCTCCTGTACACCCACAGGAGGAGAGCCTTTTGACTACAAAACAGACAAGATTTACATGGTTTTCAATGAAAGCCAAACTGAGTTGCTCCATCTCTGCTCATAAACTACAGACAGTAATGCGCTGCAGTGCGTGTGTCTATACTTTATGTCAAATGTAAACGGTGCAAACTTTGTCGCTAACTCACCCTGTGTTTTCATCACGACTCGGGCACATGTGAAAAGCACCAGCTCACAGCGCCGCACCGCAACACTGAGTCGGGGTGCGTTCACAGACGGTGAAAATCGTAGGAATTTTTAGATTTCGGCGGAAAAAGTGCGAGAATGCAGGAGGGAGGAACTTTCTCTCGTTGCGTTTCAAAAGAGAAAACAGATTCCAACGTTCATAGTGATGTCTGCCGTTCATGACACATAAAATTAACTAATTCACGTTCAAGTTCTTTTTTAAAAAAATGTATTGCGTTCAGTTCAACGTTCACAAAAAAATGAGCGTGTTCAATGAACGCGTTCTTTTGAACTCGTTCACGCACAACACTGATTTTAACAATATAGAGATGAAACCTCATGTTCCAATTACACAACTTTCTGCTTGTATTTTTCAATCCATCACTCTTCACCATCTTTGGTTGGCTCCATTCTTGATGAAATGTCCTAAAACAACAATAGAATCTTTCGGTTTTTTCTTTGCCAAAACACAAAATAAGTGGCGCAGTCATTAAACATTCGTCTATAGTGCGTAAGATTGGCAGATCGAATCAAAGTACCGTTTTTTTTTTTTTTTAATGGCAGTTATATAAAAACTGTATATATATATATAAAGATATATATAGATATTTATAGATATATATATGTATAAAGAAATAACCGTCATAAAAAAGTTTTTGATCCTGGCTGGATTTGAATCTGCGAACTCTTGCATGATCGGCGGACACACACCAGCTATACCACTCACCAGGTGGTTTTAAGTAAAATTGTGTCTTGAGTGTTTTACACATCATTTAGTTTTACCCTAACGATGATGCAATATTAATCCTAATGCAAGATTACTATTGAAACAACACATAACCATATGTATGAAATATATATTCATACATATTCAATTTGTATTTAATCTGACAAAAAAATAAAATAAAGACCAGATCTGGAATTGAACCAGGTATCTTCCACATGAGAGACAGTTACAAACCAAGTGCGCCACAGGAATATACACGTCTATAGAATCTAAACCACATATAATACATGAAATTAAGTCTTTCAACGAATTTTAAATTTAATTTATTATAACTCAAACTACGTTTTTCAAACAACTTATGGCACTTCTGACATTCTCCATGAAGTGTTATGCCCAAGGACCCAACATCAGCAAATGTCATTGGTACTCACTGGGGATTTGAACTAGCAACCATCAACACCGTAGACCTGTGCTTTTCCATCTGAGACACTGGACCACTATCTCTAATACTGCTGCTTGTTGTCTTTTGTACAGGCTGCTTTCAACTGTATTTGTTTTACACGCCATTTATTCCCCACATGCCGTTTTAAACGCCATTTATTGCCCACATGCCGCATTAAACGCCATTTATTGTCCACATTCCGTTTTAAACGCCACTTGTTGTCCACATGCCGTTTTAAACGCCACTTGTTGTCCACATGCCGTTTTAAACGCCACTTGTTGTCCACATGCCGTTTTAAACGCCACTTGTTGTCCACATGCCGCTTTACACGCCACTTGTTGTCCACATGCCGTTTTAAACGCCACTTGTTGTCCACATGCCGCTTTACACGCCACTTGTTGTCCACATGCCGTTTTAAACGCCACTTGTTGTCCACATGCCGCTTTACACGCCACTTGTTTTCCACATGCCGTTTTAAACGCCACTTGTTGTCCACATGCCGCTTTACACGCCATTTATTCCCCACATGCCGTTTTAAACGCCACTTGTTGTCCACATGCCGCTTTACACGCCATTTATTCCCCACATGCCGCTTAACACGCCACTTGTTGTCCACATGCCGCTTTACACGCCATTTATTCCCCACATGCCGTTTTAAACGCCACTTGTTGTCCACATGCCGCTTTACACGCCATTTATTCCCCACATGCCGTTTTAAACGCCACTTGTTGTCCACATGCCGCTTTACACGCCATTTATTCCCCACATGCCGTTTTAAACGCCACTTGTTGTCCACATGCCGTTTTAAACGGCACTTGTTGTCCACATGCCGTTTTAAACGCCACTTGTTGTCCACATGCCGTTTTAAACGGCACTTGTTGTCCACATGCCGTTTTAAACGCCACTTGTTGTCCACATGCCGTTTTAAACGCCACTTGTTGTCCACATGCCGTTTTAAACGCCACTTGTTGTCCACATGCCGTTTTAAACGCCATTTATTCCCCACATGCCGCTTTAAACGCCACTTGTTGTCCACATGCCGTTTTAAACGCCATTTGTTGTGTACATGCCACTGATCAGCTGTGGCAGGTGCCGGTGCCACAAAAGGAGCCTGCCCTTTCTCAGATATTGAAACACAGCGTGCTGCAGTTGCCTCCATTGACACTCGTGTCCACAATAATGAAGCCTCCTTGGAGAAGCTCAATGATGCACTAATCCAAATGGAACAGAAGCTTGTCTCTTTCGAGGACAGAGCCAGACGTGACAACATCCGCATTTTGAATGTGAAGGAAGGAGAAGAACGTGGGAATGTATTATCCTACCTCTCATTGAATCTCCCCAAGTGGTTCCCTGGATTAGCTGCGGCTCCTCCTGAGCTCGAGAGCTCACCGCCTTGGTCCACCTCGACAGAGCTCCTCTCCCAGGGCGATCATAGCCAAGTGTCCCCGCTTCACTGACAGAGATCGTATCCTGAATGAGGCGAGGAAAGCTCCTGTCCAGCTGTCTGGGAAATCTCTCCGCTTTGTTTCGGACTACAGCGACATCACATCCAAACGCAGACGTCCATGCTACCAGGTCATGTACCAGGCACGGAGTGCTGGCTTTAGTGCCTACTTGTTGTATCCGGCAACAATCAAGCTGGAGAAGGGTGGCGAACAGCACGTCTTCGAGAACCCATCTGATGCGGAGGATTTCATATCCAAGCAGTGAGTCTCCTGTATCTTCCACCGGTAGACACTGCTTGTCAACAAATGTGTCCACGTGAGACTCTGTTTACTTCCGCACGTGATGACGTCACCTGCCGGTGACGCACTAAGGGTGCTTTCACACCTGTTGGTCTAGTAAAGTGGTTCGCTTGGGCCCTAAAGTTGTTACAATGTTGCAGTTCTCAACTGGTTTGGTTCTCATTCACACCAGTGTTTTTGCAAATGAACCAACCACTGTGGATGTTACATATTCCGCCACCCATGTGGTGGCGCTGTTCACAAAATACTGTGTATTGGATGACGTAGGTGACTGTGCTACTCTGTGTTTTTTGGCTAAATATTTATCATTGTTGCTTTGTGCAGCACAAATACTGTTGTTCCAGTATGTATCGCGGATTCAGCACGAGAACAATCTGCGGGTGTTTTTGCCTATTCTATCATATAAAAAAACAATGTGCGTGTCAAAACGTGAGCTACGCAACAGACCAGGGCCATATTGAGGCCGGACTGCGTTCTCACCAGCAGCGAACCAGACTGGAGTCCACATGGAACCGCACCGAGACCAGCTCCATATGGTGGTCTCGGTGCGGTTCTTTAGTCCGGACCAAATTTAACTGGTCCACTTTCACACCTGCTCAAACGAACTGTACTTGCAGGTGTTCCAGACTCCAGTCCGCTTTAAGTGGACTAAATGGTGCAGGTGTGAAAGCACCCTAAGCGTCAAAAATTAAACGCCCCCGTCTTCCACCAAAATTTATCAAAATCCGTGAAACAAAATTTCTCAACATAAATAACTTAATTAGTGACATACTAAATATTAATTGGGACAGACTTATTTTAATACCCTCTATAAATGAAGCCTGGGACTACTTTCACACAGAATTATTAAATGTCATCAATAAACACGCACCACTGACTGAAATCAGGGGTTAAGGGAAACCATCTCCCCTGGGTAAATGGTGAGCTGCTCAGTCTTTACAGGAAAAGGGATAAGGCTTGGTCTAAATTAAATACTTCAAAGCTCGTCGCTGACTGGGAGGACTACAGACGGCTGCGCAACTCCTGTACCACTCAAACAAGAAATGCCAGATCCAATTACCATAAAAATTGTTTAACAAATAACTTCAATAACCCTAAAAAATTCTGGAAACACATCAACAA